TCCTAAAATAAACTGATTCCTCATTACCAAGAAATATTACAACTATTAAAATACTATTTAATAAAACTAAACAGCATTTTCTTAATTGTAATAATATTAAACTTAAAAATTTTGATTTCCTAAACTAATGTCTGAATGATCCATTTACCTCTCCAGCTTTTCCTTAATGTTTTTATATCAGTACCTTTCAATGTTAATTTAATATTTAAATAATAATTCTAGGATTATTTAGGTGTAAAATCTGCAACCATAATGGAAACAAATATTGGAAATCTAAGCATTATTCTAAAATTAATAATAAAGAAATAATATAACAGAAAATTCTCTGTACTTTGAAAAATTACAAGCATTCTCTGAAAAACAACAGCTTTCTCTTTGATAGCACAGTAGTTCAAAAGACCTCTTCATGGGTTTATTTTGAATGTGAGCTCTGCTGGGATCTGCTCAAGGTGTGGCAATGACTTTCCATGACACTGGGCGAACAGGAGTATTAAGAGGTACTCTGTTTCAGATACAGCATCCAGATAACATTACAGACCTCCCTCTGTCTTCTAGGTAACCTTTTTTTAAGCTTTTTAATTAAGTATAGTTGACAGATAATATTATACTAGTGTCAGGTGTACAACATAGTGATTTGACATTTATATACATTACAAAATGTTCACCATGATAACTGTAGTTATCATCTGTCACCATTCAAAGTTATTATTGACTATATTCCCTGTTCTGTACTATTCATCCCCATGACTTATTTATAACTGTACATTTTTAATGTTCATACAATAAATAATGTAAAGGCAGAGGAACACATTTTAATTTGCCCTGTACCCTAAAAACTGTTCAAATACCTTAAAGGATCTCCATATTGCCATAAGCCATTCTTGTAAGATCAGCATGGAAATAATCTCCTTAACTTGTTTTTGCTAAGGAACTGCTTTTTAAACACAATGTAATATCCCAAAGACAAAAAACCACCAAGAAAATAACTCTTAATTGTACATTTCTGACTACATTTAGTCTCTTAAAAGAAAGTAGCTTTCTTAACAGCAGAATTATGTTAGCTACTATAATTATAATTCAAAGAAGCTATAAATCATGAAATCTATTTTCAAATAGAGGAAACAAAGTCAGAAAAAAATCTATGGTGGTTATATCTAATAAAAACAGAATAAAAACAATATCCTGAAATTCTTAAGCCTGCTTATGATGATGCCATATCTTGGAATAATATTAGGAAGAGATTTATTAGCTAGTCACATTTAGTTGTGCTTATTTCCTAAGTTCAACAATTAAAAGCTGATACTAACATTTTAAGAATCCTGGCATTCTGAAATATTAAATCTTACCGGTAAAAATTGTGAAAATACAACCCAGCGATGCAATGTATTATTTTTAAGATAGACCTCATTTATACCTAAACTATGTATTTTATATGTGTGGAGAAGTGGGGTTACATTACTTATTCTGAATATAACTCCACATGAAGTGTTTCAGCACAAAAGTAGAATATTAAAATGTACACTTTAAATCCTCAACTCCATCCATAAAGAAAAACTGGGAGCACAGCATAATGATTATACATACCATTTTCAATACAAATGTTAAAAAGCAATTTAATTTATATGAATTCAAAAAATATTCAATCCCACAAAACTGAAAGGTAGGATTTTTATGCTAATAGTAATCCTAGTCATAAAAAACAGAATCGTGTTCCTACTCCTTTTAATCTCAGTTATCCAAAGCAAAAGATATTTAAGGGATGTGTATGTGTGTGTATATATACACATACACACAAACATATATATGTAAATATCTATGTATTTTAAAGGAAATTTATTCATCAGAATCTAAAGAAGAAAATACAAACATATTAGGAGTTAACCATGTTAAATGTAAATCATTGGGTATTCTCACCATTACATTCTAAGTACAGCTCAGAAGAATTTGGGTCACAGAGACACTTAAAGTAAGTTCACGTCAAGACACACTAGAAATAATTAAGATTTTAAAGTCATCTGTTAAGGTGCTCACCATTAAGTTTGTGGTAATTTTTTTAAACAAAGCTGTCAAGTGATCAAGCAGCAACAAGGTATTTGGTATGATGGCATTTTGGTGTAAGGCAGATGTTTACATAAAATATGTGAACTTTTGCAAAATTTATAGAATACCATAACCATAAAAATAACTAATTCTAAGTATGATTTTGAAATTCCTAACTAAACCTATCCTTCAATAAGATCTTTATCAGCTAATACAGGGGAGTGTACACAGCTGAAGAGACATAAATCACATTATGTAGAGATGTATTATTAACAGTACTCTCTTTAGTTCAAAGTATATCATCTAATTTAGTTTTCATTCTGGAGCTCCCATGAAAAAGTTCGTAAGTGTTGTAAAAAATAATACCTTTACTGCATAAATATGTAATGGAATACCTACACAGAAACATTAAATTAAATAATGCATATTTTGGGGGCTTCCACTGTGCAATACAGCAGGTGTGTGCTGTCCTAAAATCGAACTCTGCTTTTTCTTTTTATATTACTTGAGAAAAATAAAAATAAAAAACAATAAAGCAACCCCTTTCTCCCAGGTTCCCTTTATAAAACCATTAAAGCTTGTAAGTTGCTTTGTGAATTCATATTGCTTTACTTGGAATTTTAACTTCTTGACATTAGACGGAGAAGTTATGGGTAAAATTGTAATTTATCCAGAATATCTTGCTTGGCTTTAGTACATGTGCTTATCAACAGGAGCTCAAGAGTGGAAAGAAGTATGGCTTTAGTGGATTTGCATAATTCCTAGTGGAGAGAAGTTCATTTCCCTATCAGTGGGTAATTACCTGGGCAGTGGAGGGCTTATCTGTACCTGAGAGGGGAGGGGGAGAGTCGGTTTTGCTGCTGCTCCAGCTGGAGAGAGAGATGGGCAGGACTGCAGTTTGTAAACAATAAATAGGTTTTAAACTTTGTTTCTCCCTTTGACTGATTTCAGTTTTCAGAGGTATTTTGCCCCGGGATTTCCTCTCCCTAGACTTACAGAGGTTCTATTTTATTATCAAAGCTCTGAAAAAAAAAAAAAACAGGCTAGGCCTAGTTATCTGCTGCTATACAAGCTGAATCCTCAAGGTTCAGTATCTAAGAGTCTGGCTGTATTTCCCTCAGTCCACCCCACTCCCATCCTCTAACATGTCCCATGCCTCTGGGCGGGAAAGCCTGTGGCAACACGAAGCAAGTTTCCACCCACTGTTAACCTCTGCAGCTGGTCCATGAAGCAAGAACAGCCCTTCTCACTATCCCTGATATTTATTCTGCCCATCTGACAAGTGTCAGATAAGAATTTTTTTAGAGTAGTTGATTTTAAATTAAGTTAAAACAAAATATTTTGAAGAAGTGCACAGTGAAAGAACTTAATTTACAGAAAAAAAGTAAAAACAAACAAACCTGGAAGTAAACTGCTCATTCACATCAAGTGAGCTCATTTTATCAAGACAATTGGTATGTAAAAAGGCACAATACATCAAATAGCTAACCTAGCTTCAGAAAAAGAAAAAAATTAGCAGATTGTAATTAACAAAAGGTTTCCCCTTTAGCAAATCATTATCATTTTAATGATTTTAAATTGGAATATCAGTTTTTCAGTAAGGAAATCTTAGATAATTTCAATTACTGAGTTTGGCAGTTTGAATGGTGACCTCAAAGATATGTCCACATTCTAATCCCCCAAACCTGTAAATATGACCTTAAATGGCAAAAGATGTGCAAGCTAGGAACACCTTGAGAGTAGAAACTTACCGTAGGTGATGCAGGTGGGTTCTACATGCAATCATACGTATCATTATAAGAGAGAGGCAGAGGGAGTTTTAAGAAACAGATACATACACAGAGGAGAAGATGAAATGAACACAGAGTGGACAGATGCAGCCACAAGCCAAGGAATGCCAACAGGCAGCTACCAGAAGCTGGAAGAGGCAAGGAAGGTTTCCCAATTAGAGCCTCTGGAGGGAGCATGGCCCAGTTCTATGCCTTCATTTCAAACATATCTGACCTCCAGAATTCAACTGTGAGAGAATAAATCTGTTGTTTTACCTCCAAGGTTGCAGTAATTTTTTAAAACAGCTACAGGAAACTAATACGCTGAGGAAAGGAATATATTAAAATAAATAATCCTTTAGGCATACAAACTTAGAAGCGAAAGAGTAATCCTATATTACAAATAAAATACATCAACGAGACACAAGATACAATGAAATAGTATGCCCAATTTTTACAGTTGCAACTTTGAGGCATATTATAAGATTTTACATGCATCACTAACATGATCATACAGGGGAAACTTATAAGCAAAAGTTTTGCCTAATCTCTAAATATTCAGCTATAAAAATAAAGTATAGTAAGCAAGATACAGATAATCTTTCAAATCAGACTAAAAAGTGACAGAAATTAAAAACAATTAAAAATGCCTGCAAAATACACACAAATAAATGTGGCTTCTGGAACTATTCATTAAAGTATAAAGGCTCCCACTATATGATCTGCTCAAGTGGCAGAACCACCCAAAAACTGACAAAAGGAAGGGAATGACATCTGGGGAATTATAAATTACACTGGCCATAATACTTGAGATTTTTTGAAAAAATTTAACAATAAATCTTTATGATCTGGCAACCACTTGGTCATTCTGAGACTCAAATAAAAAAATAATCAAATACTGTAACCTCTCTTAGCCTCAATATCCTCATCTTTAAAACTGGGACAACAGTGTCTACCTACCTTATAGTTTTAACAGCCGCTCAGAGCTATTGTGAGGATGAAATAAGATTTCAATGGCCCATGGTTTGGGTCACAGCTTCTCTCCATAAACCGACTAGACTGGGAGCTAAGTACCCTTGCTTTTTTAATGAAAAATTTCAGGGAACAGTTACTATATTTAAAAAAATAGAAAAACATATTAAAACAAAGCTTCTTCTCCATTCTACTGACATCTAGGATCCTAGCACTTACCACATCACTAGCGCTGGAGAACTCATTATTGACCAAACTTTCAAGAGCCATCCACCGAACTGGCCTGTTTTCATTGTCCCCCAGACAGTGATAGTCCATGGGGAACAAGTCTCTGGAGAGGGCATTGTCTGTGATCTTAACTTGAAGTGTGTCATCAATGCTGAAAAGTAAAGACATGAACATCAAATGAAATGAGAGTATTTTTAAAATATGGATTATAGTTACTCTTTAATGTAATACAATTCCCACTGTGACTCCTGGAGAAAACCCCAAACTGAGAAAGAACTAAACATCAAATGACAGTAACAAACTCCTGGCACTCACACACAATTCCTAGCAGCCAGGTCTTTGTGGATGACTTCCCTTCTCGCCAGATAGCTCATTCCACAGGCAATCTGAATAGCCATGTGTACCAGGTCTTGCTGAGAAATTGCCTGTGTAACAGAAAATAATAGTGTTAGCAGTTAGTGAAAAAATTACGATGGCAGCTACTCAGTTCATTCCAATCCTACTCCATCCCCAAATACTTCTATCTATACACTGAGTTTGAAAGGCTACTTCTTGACCAAGTATATGTTCCCAAAGCTCCCAGTACCTGTTTCTATTATAGACCTTATCATTCTATAGTATAATCTACCATAAATTTCACAGTCACACACACCATAGTCACACACCCAGCAGGTATTTCCCCCCAACATCCAATGCATACAGTAGCTGCTTAGTACCTATCTGTTCAATGAATGTTTAATTTTTAAGGGATTAATTCAAATGCTTATGATTTAATAACTTGTTTTCTATAAAAATAATAGCTTTTATTAGGAGACTGTCCCCTGGGGACCATTTTCAAATTAATACAAGCCTACAAACTATATTGATATGCTTCTCTGGAGCCAGGACACCAGTACTGAGGGCTGAGGAGTGAAAGAGCCTCCAACCACTTGTTGGAAACCTTGGCTTTAATCCTGTCAATTTACAAGGCATATTACACATATTAAACCAACTATTCAATGAAGGCTTTCAATCCACTTTCTCCTGGCAACTGGAAGTACATTATTATAAATCCTAAAACCAACCTAATGTGGTTACAAAACACAGTAGGCAGCAAAACTCCCACTAGGCTTTACTACCACTACTGTCATAATGTGTTTGGAATCTGACCAAATGCTTCACAACTATGTACACAGTAGTGAAGAGAAAGAAATTCTTAGGTGACTGGCATCCTACAGCCAGCATATTAAAAACACACTCAATTATCCCCTACAATCTAGCACTCCAGTCAACAACAGCTTTTGGTATAAATATAGACCAAATGGCTCTGTAAAATCTGTTTCCATTCATAGAAGGGAGATCTAATACAAGTCCTTCAAAGAGTTATCAGGAAAATGACTGAGATGGTGTTACAGAGGGAGTGAAATGATTATGAGTAAACATACAATGGATATAAAAAAAAATTCAGCATCAGTAAAGTGTAAGCCTCAGGACAGAATCATTAACCATCTGCTCTAAACCACCAGGTTATAAATATGTTCTGGTTCATTTTGAGGTTCTTTTTGCAGGCCTTTAAACAGTTTATATATAAGAATGTTAACATCTACTTTTGAAGATATCATCAGAAAACTTTGGGTAAATACTTGGTATTTGGGGCAAAATTTTCTCACCTGAGGGTTATTGGCCTCTACTAATTTGCACTGGCGTAAAAACAATTTAAGATTCCCCCAATTCATGTAAGGCAAAATCACCATGGGCTTTTCTCCTTCTTCTATACACACATGGGTAATAGGAAGAAGATTTCTATAAAATAACAAGAAATCAGGAGAAAGATAAGTGAAATCTAAAACCTCAGGGGTTTGTTTTTAATAAAAAGGAATAAAATTAAGAAAACCTGAAAGAAAACACGAAAATCTCAAACATACTTAAAAACATAATTACCATTAAAAATGTAAAATTATAAAGGCTCTTTAAACTAGACGTTAGTGTTTCCCACATATGCACCTTTTCTAGAGAAAAGTTATATATAAACTCAGTTGTTTCCTGTGGACTGGAGTCTCTAGCTTCCTAAATTTTTACTCAAAAGGGTAAACAGAGGCACCTAAAAAGGACTTGACCAAGAGTATATTTTAACATTCCTTTCGGTCCATAATCACACTTTAAAAAAAAGGCCCCAATGCATACTGGGAACAAAAATCTGATAGCCAAGAAGGCCTCTAAGAGGCTAAAACTGCCACAAAGGCCAAGAAGGCTCTAGCTGGTCACATGGGATTTACAATCTGATTTCTAATTCCTAAACTTACTATTTACTGTCTGTGTGACTGTCTCTCTTTGCCTTAGTTTCCATACCTCTGACAGGGATGGGGATCCCACCAACCATAAAATGTTATGATGTACAAAATAAAGCCAAGCATATAGTAAACAGTCTTGTTCTTGCTTTAATTTCTACGGCACACATACTTTCATCCTTTTGCCTTAATGACACCTCTTCCACTGGTATCCGGAAATTTTTTCCCAAGGTTACATAACTTTTAACATAATGACCTCATTTTTCTCCACCAAGCTGAAAATTCCTAGAAGGCAAAAACTAATATGAACTCTTATTTTTAACCTAATGCTTTGTATTCTGTGCCATGGAAAATAAGCACTTAAAAAATATTTGAAAAATAACACAAATAACATAGGCTTAAAAACATTCCTATTCCTTAACTTAGTAAATTCTGCCTCTAAGGCTATCCAATAGGAAATAATATTAAACATAAAAAAGCCACATGGACAAGGAGAGTTAATGCAATACTAATAGCAAAAAGTTGGTAACAACTTGAATGTCCAAAAGTAATGAAAAGTGTACATCCAAATAATAGGATAGTATGTAATGATTAAATGGTTATAAAGAGATGTTAAGGAGAACATGAGTAAAAGCTTATCTTATAGGAGAAAAAGATAATAAAGCAATTCACATATTACAAATATGGAGAGGATTACACAATAATTACAAATTAAAGAAAAAGTAGTAAAAATCTGCACAGAAATAGGCAGTTGTTGTTTTTGAGCTGTGGGACTTCCCATCATTTCTACCTTGTCTCTCTGTATTTCCTAAATTGTCTCAATTTAGCATGTATGTCTTCTAAAACCAGTCACGATTCTGGCCTAAGAGTGCACAAATGAAAGTTATGGGCTTTGCCCACGCTGTGCAGGAGTTTTAACAGGGAAAGCACTGACCCTGAGCAGCTGGAAAAATGAGGATTCAGAGAACAGTAAACCTGTAGGAGGTAACACCTCTGTAAAGCTTCTACTTGCATTATGGCCTTGGCCTAAGAATGGCAGCAATGATTAGTCTGATTAGTTCTGCTTCATAGGTGAGGAACAGAGAGAGAAGTCAGGTAACCTGCTGAAGACAAATGGCAGGTATGCGGAGAAAAAAAAAATGTCATCTGATTCCAAAACTCTTGTGCTTTCCCCAGATGACTGGGCATTCCTTCCCAAGGAAGCAAGAGGGGCCCAGGGAAGATGACAGAGCCTCTTTTCACAGCCAGCCCCCCACACACTAAATTGACTAGCAGGTCTGTGCTCAGATATTCACCTGAGCATGCCAAAATTTCAGAGGTAATGTGGAGAGTTACCCAATCTAACACCCCAAAATTATTTCTTACTGAAAAATTATTTTCATGACTGAAATTCACCAAGCAGAGTTAAAGGCATTTTATCCAGGCGCAGTAAGTTTGTTGGATAAGATCAAATCATTCATTTATTGCCAGAGGATAAGAGCCTGCTAGGAAAGGTAACAAGCTGCATGAACATGTTTCAAAGTACAAATGGCTCATCTTCATTCTGCTCATTTTATAAAGGAAAGGAGGATAAAGAGGGGAAGTCTGGGACAAGTGTGGATGAGAGCAAATGCAGGTGCTACAGATAACAAAATGGAGGAAGGGCAGTTTCCATGGGGACTTGAGGCAAATGCACCCAGTTCTCAGTCTTGCTAGGGGTGCTTGCAGACTGGGAGCCATGAGGCAGTTGGAATGTGAAGGGCCTGCCCTCAGGCACTCTGGGAAAAACAGAGTCAAACCATAAGGACAAATAGCTCATGAGTACTTTGATATGAAACACTCTGATGTATTAAAATAGGTTGACAGCTACCTTTTATTTATACAGCTATTTAAACTTACAATAAAAACCAATCTCATGAATTACAGTGGAAAAAGGAGTAAAAAGAATTTCAAAATGCTTTAAAATAGTTCAACACTTTACAACTCTTATTCGTGGAATGTAAACATAAAGTAAACATGTTTTAAATGTGTAATTCCATATCACAACTACTTTTTTATAAAGTTAAATTCTGAAACCAGGTGCCATCTCTTGCTGTTACTTAGTTTGCTTGATAAATTCTACTGATCACTAGAGATCATTATTTCATTTTTATCCCTCATACCTAGCAGAGTTTCAGCAAAATAGGCACTTAATGAATCCAAGTAAAAAAATGAACAGCCCAAATGCATACATACAGCCACGAATAGTCTAGATGTCAAGGGTCAAAAAGAAATGTGTTGTAGGTCCCAGTCCCCTTAAAAATAAAATGAACTGCTACAGTGAATGGAAAGAACAATGAATGTACTGACAATGTGTTTTGTTCATTAAAAACTAGAAGAATCTGGTATCACTTTATAATTAGGAACAATTAACCATGACCAAACTATAAGCTGCCATAATCACTGACTGTCCAGTATTAACCCATTTTAAAATGCCATCCCCTTGCATCACATAATGATAACCTGGGGCTGCTAATTCATCCTGGCAGGATGTTGGAAAACCCCGGTAGAATGTTTAGAGCCTCATGAGAAAATGCTGCTAATGATTGCTTTGAACATTTTTCAGCCAAAGCATCTTTGGACTACAGTGGCTATAAAGCTGCTTCCTGGCAAAATCCTGGCTTTGTCCACCTTTACGCCTGCCACCCACTCCTGTGCTGAAGTGATGCAGACCTTTCATCAGGGTTAGATTACTAGGTCAGTACCCAAATCCTGGGTTAACATTACATACTAGTGTAACACTGTTGGCTACTCCCCCTGGAGTCAGCATGACAGAACAGCAGACACTCCCAACACTGTCAAAAAGGACATTTCCAACTAATCATTACCCAGTTCTTGTTTTGTTATCCAAAGGAAACAGAATGTGTTTCTAAGAAAATATAGTCTAAGGGATGAGTTATCCATCCGTTCCTCTGCAGATGAGGAATTCTATTCTTGGACTGAATCGGGTCAATGGAAGGAAACACTCCTTAACCCTTTCAAAGGAACATCTTCAGTTCCTCAATATAATTTGTTCAATTTTTTCAAAAGTCTCTGGCTTTTTTACTTCCAATGAAATTCAAGAGTGTCTCTTTGTTATATTAATCAATGTCCCAAGGACATGATAAACCTAATGAGACATCTGCTCTGAAATTTGAAATCAGAATAACTTTTCTCTCTCTTAAGGAACATCTATGTTTCTTTCCCTTCTAATAGTGAGATTTATCAACTTGTAATGTTTCCTTCAGCCTTGGTTGCCCAGAAGCTAAGAAGCTTGTTTTATGTTCAACTAAAGCAAAAATATTTGTCTCCTTGCCGTTGGCTTATTTATTTTCCACCTTCACAATGCCAAAGAACTCAGTTTCATTTTCATTACCATTTTATTGATTCTACCATAACTTGCCTTCTTTTTAGATTCTCAGATTCATTTGAATATGAACTAAAGTATAAACAAAATTCAAATGTAAAACTAAGTAATCATCTTTTTTTTTGGTAAAGTAACTGCTCAAAGTACACAGAAATTAAAATGCATTGATGCCTTTTGTATGCTTTCCTTTCCATCTTTTTATTTTTTCAGAAGTCTATAAATATCTTCTAACAGGGATGGTCACTCAAGAAATAACAAGTGTTAGCAAGGAGGTAGAGAAAAGGGAACGCTATCCACAACTGTTAGGATTATCAATTGGAGCAGCCATTATGGAAAGAAGTATGGAAGGTTCTCAAAAAACTGAAAACAGAAATACTATACAGCCCAGCAATTCCACTTTTGAGAATTTACCCGAAGAAAACAAAATCACTAACTTGAAAAGATATGTTTATCACAGCATTATTTACAATAACCTAAATATGGAAACAACCTAAGTGTCCATCAATAGATGAAAGGATAAAAAATAAAAAAGATGTGGCATACACACACACACACACAACACACACACAATGGTATATTACTCAGTGATAAAAAAAGAATGAAATCTTGCCATTTGTAACAACATAAATGGACCTAGAGGGTATTATGCTAAGTGAAATAAGCCAGGCAGAGAAGGACAAATTCCATATGATTTCACTTACATGCTGTATCTAAAAAAGAAAAATGAACAAACAAAACAGAAAGAGACTAACAGACACAAAGAACAGACTGGTAGTTACCACAGGGCAGGGGGATGGAGAGATGGGTGAAATAAGTGAAAGGAAAAAAAAATTAGTGATAATGATCAGCATCTTGATCTGGGTGATAGTTACATGAGTACATTCACATGTCAAAATTCATCAAGCTGTACACTGAGATTTGTACATTTTAGGTACCTCAAAATAATAAAACTATCTTCCTGAAAAATAAAAAAAAGGGATGATCACTTTCCATTTTTTTAACATGTGACCAAAGATTCAGTAGACATACAAATCAAGCTGACTCTACATAGTGCTTTCAAAAAATCTTGACCTAATATTGATAGTGCTGCACATTGTGATACTATTATTTAAGTCCTTTTTTCTCAGAAGGTAGCTTTTGTTATAGCTCTGTCAAGAAGACTGATAAAAAGCTTTTTTAAAAAAGTTCTTCATATAGAACTATATATATTTTTTAAGTCATACTATGACCTAATGACAAGAGATTTGTTAAATAAAAGGTGGTATATCCATTCAGTGAACTACTACTATAATATAGACACGAATTTATAGTTACCCATAAGAAAAGTTAGATACTTTGCTTTGCTAATATCAAAAAGCATGTTAACTTGTAAAGATAATAATGGCATTGTGATTATATAGGAAAATATCCTCATTTTTTTGGAAAATGCATACTGGAAATGCATTGATAGTGTTAAGATATCCAATTTACTTTAAAATATTGCCACAGGCACAAATATCTGCCTATCCACACCTATTTAGAGAGATGATAGAGGCACACAAATGCATGCACACACGAAGCAAAAATGGCAAAATGTTAATAACTACCTTTACATTTAGGAGGTAGGCTTACTGTGTTTATTATTCTTGTCTTTGGTATTGTATAAAAAATCTTGTAACAAATTTTTTTAGTTTATGTATATCATCCAATTTTTTTAAGAGAAATACACATATAAATATGTAAAAACCCTTTTCAAAAATCTTAGCTATGATTATATAGATGTGGGCTTAGACACTATTTTCCTTTTACTTTACTGTGTTATTAAATTTTGTGCAATGAGCATGCATTCACTTTTATGTTCTGAAAAAAAATTAAACTGTTCCAAAAAGCTTTTGATTCAGAACATTTCACAATGCGAAAATAAAACTGTTACCATGTTTAACACTTAGTTGCTGGGTGGTTTCTTCTCTTACCTGTGATGAAGACCTCGTAGCTTACAACTTTCAGTAAGCATCATTGTCACCTGAATTTCAGAAGCTTGATCTATATAAAGAAAAAGACACTGTCTTAAATGATAACACTATATATATATGATATTAATATATTCTGCTATTAGTCAATAATTATCTCAGACTATATAAAATAAATTTTCATTATAAAATACAGGTAAATCCAAATGGCTCTAGCCTGAAACTCTATTGTGGTAGGTAATCCCACTGAGTAAATCAATATTAACAGAAGACGTTATGGATAAATGTGACTACATAAAAATTAGAAATTAAGTAAGGTTCCATAAACAAAGTAATAAAAGAGTGGACAAATATCCATAACATGTAGGCATTTTATAAAGGGCTAATGAATTTTTTCCCTTCTTTAAAGAGTTCATATAAATAAGAAACAAAAAAAATGAAAAAGAGACAAAGGGAATAAACATATAGTTTACTAAAAAAAGAAACACAAGTGACTAACAAAATTACAAAATGACTTTTAGCCTCACTGCTCAGTAAAGAAATGCAACTTAAGGACACACCATTTTATCCATCAGATTGGAAGAGACAAAAAATCAGCAACCTACCCGTCTGGGCAAGAGTGTGAGGATCACCAGAGCACCGTGGTAGAGGGAAACCAATATCTAACATTTTAAATGCATATACCCTTTACATCATCAGTCTCACTGCTAAGAGTCTACCCTACACATATATCCACAGAAGATCACCTACATATAATGTAAGAATTATTCAATGGTAACAGTAAGAAATGCAAAACAACCAAAGTGCCCATCAACGGAAAACTAGTTAAAAATTAGCATATCAGAATACTGTGTGACTACTTTTAGAAATAAGATTTAGATCTATACATTTTGAGAAAGATGTCCAAGATACATTAAATTTAAAAAGCAAGCTGCAGAAAAACTGTGTTTCTGTGATCAGTTACAGCTTAAAAACAAAATTATTTAAAAAATTAGATATACTTGGGTGCATTTTTTCTCTTACTCATGAAGCAAATCAAAAGAAATTATTTATAGTGGTTATTTTAGAGATGGGAAGATTTACATTTTGTACCTTTCTGTCTTGTTTACACTTTCTAACCTTACAAACATAAAACTGAAAAAAAATGACCACAAGAGTTCTGACTGGAGACTGCAATTTTGTTGTTTTCTTGTTCTTACTTTTCTGTAGTTATAAAAAACACAAAGAATCAATATTAAATTAGTAGAAAACAATTTAATTTTCACAGAACATCTGAAATTAAAACAATTATTCCATTTTATTTTCTGCTTCTGAACTCATGGTTTTTGGTCCAAATTAATAAAACAGAACTAAAACTGGCTTTTTAGTTCAATGGTTTTGAAACAAAAACATGATAATGCAATTTATCAATATGTTTAGTCTGTACCTCCCAAGAACCATAAGCCATCAAATATTTGCACAAATCTACATGAACTCCTCATTGTATAGGGGCCACTATTGTAATATATATTTTCTTCACTGTTTGAAAAGAACATTTTATAGTGAAAGCATATTTTCACTATAAAATTGAAAATCAGTTTTATTTTTAAATGGTTTTTAGATATTAAAAATAAAATTTTGAGTATAGTGTATCTCTAAAAACACTTTCAGAGAAACCAATAGCTAATTTGTATGTCAACAGTAATAACAACTTATAAAGCTTCTGATCAATGCAGCAAGAGGGAGAAAAGGATGTAAAGATCGGTGAAGCCAAGATCTACACCCCAACCCTACCTAGCAAAAGGCTGAACCAACAGTAATATGTAGACCACTGAGCTCAAGCACTATGATGATGTACCATCGTCACTCTTTAACAGTGAAGCTGTCAAAGCTGAAAATTACAAATTTCATTTACCTCTGGGACTAACTGGTGGAATCACTCCCTCTCCTGTACTCGCTAGTACTGTCCCCTTTCAGACAGCTTCACTTAGTTAAGACTTTTGTAGGTATGTAAAATGGGTGGCAAAAAGCCAAGGACTTGAAACACTTGGTACTTCTTTGAAAAAGGTGCTCCACACAGTGTCTGCTTGAATAAACTCTAGTTGTCTAAAAACTGCTTAAAATTTAGGATCATCTAGTAAATAGCACAATGTGCCTTATTCACTCTTTCTACAATCTAAATTATTTTTCATGGAATTACAGCCAGGGCTATCTGGAGGCTGGTAGGACCTTTTTAGGATTGAAAACAAGTACCAGTTGGAGGTCCCCACCCAGTTCTTAAGAGCTTACTTTCCCATCAACTGGTATGAAAACCCAAGTAAAACAAAGGTAACTTCAGTATATATCATTTTATGCATAATATTTTTCAAGTTCTTAACTTTAATAAGCATATTCTATGAAGTAAGGGACATTTGAACTGGATGATCTAAAAAAGCTATCAATTTATTAAGAGAAAATCATTTTCCTGGATTCCTTTCTCAGTATAGTCCATGTCTTTTCATTTTAAACACTGAAAGGTCTATTTTCAAGAGGTATACATTTGAAAACAATACTATAAAATAATTTACATTCTAAAAGTTACAAAAGAGAAAATGATAAAAAACACATCCCCAAACTGCAAAAAATTAGCAATTATAAAATAAAGTAACAATAAATTCAAATCAATTAATTTATTTCACAGAATTTCACTTCACAATATTCATTGTCTGAAATTCAGATTCCTAATTTCAATTTCTCGACATTTCTACTGGCGTATCCATAAGTCCTTGTGCAACATTATATATTTTTTAAGAATGTAATTTCCTGCTTATGCTTATGCTCAATTATCTTTTAAAAACTTATTTTTTGCATCTTAAGCTACACTTCTAATTGTGTAGCATGTAACAAAGCATACAGATTTGTGAAAGAACTTTGTCAGTTCTATGTAGCTTCAATTAGAAAAATTAAAATAACATTCCACAGGAATAAATCTCAGAGACACTCAATCATGCGGAGTTATCTCTTGAACAATTTTGAGGCAAAGGCTGTGGGCAAAGCACTTCTTCTCTGTTTCCCAGGCAAACCATGACCACATCTTGGCTAAGAACTCACTGTGCTTTTTCTTGTTTTCGTCTAGCTCAGAGGGAACATAATAATTACAGTGGTAAAGCACAGAAACAAGCTAGTGACTACAATTCAAGTGTATACGGGAAGAGAAATCTTATCTTGTGAAACAGTCCCAGTATCCGCATTGTGTTTTCTTATCACTATTATTTCCTTTTTTCCCCCCTTCAGAGCCTAAATCAACCCAATTCTGTACAGAAACCTCTTTTGCTAATTCAAGATTCATTTGAACAAATTAGTAAGCCCAGTTCTAAATTGTCCATAGAATATTTACAAAGCCCAGAAGAAATATTAGAGTTAAAGGAAAGTGTTTTCTTAAAAAATGGGGAAGTGCAACGAAGGGCAGTGGTTATTAAAGTTAAAATTTTACATTTACAAAGAGTAATACGTAAAACATCCTTCAAAACTAGTCAGAGAACACAATGGGGCCTAACAAATACTAACCTCTAAGTGTTTTGGGGCTAGGAGAAGTGGGTGAATAAAATAAAAACTGAAAGTGTGTGTGTGTGTATGTGTTTGTAGCATCCTTAAATAAGCAATTTTGTGAAATTATATCAAATTCTATTCAAAATGCTAAATTCATTTTTCCAAAATTAATATATTATCATCTCAACTTATATAGACAGTCAGATATGAAGGGCCCCATCAATCTCTATTTTTCTTTCTCTTAAAATGGGCTAATAGACAACTAAGAATTACTTGTGCTTTTATAAATATCAATTATCAATATTTAAGTTCTAATATTTTAAAGGATCTTGCTGATTCACCAGTATTAGGGAATAAGCAATATATAATCATATCCTAGCATATTTTCATAGGGAATCTCTTAACTGAAAAATTTATATAAATCAATAAGTGAAAAATTACGTATCACATTTTTCCAAAAGAAGAATATGTGAAAGCAGGTATTGTTAATGAAAATGTAAACCAGTGCTACCTTTTATAGAATAATTTGGCAACTGGCAATCTCTTATCAAAATTTTAAATATGAACACTCCTGGAGCAGCATTCCAACTATGGTTATACCTGAAAAACTATACTAAGAAACACACACACATTTACACATACACATACGTATATCTTCTGCCGCATTACATACAACAGCCAAAATAAAGGCAGGGGGTAATGGGAGAAAGGTAAGGAGTAGGTACCCATATAAGGTACTGAGAGTCTGGGAGTCAATGTTTTTTCTTTATAGTCCTCACTACTGTGTGGTAGAGGGGAGGTAAAACCAATAACAATGTTTTTTAAGAGAGAAAAACCAGAGAATTTCAAACCAAGAAAAATACAATATTACATAGAGCAACAATGAAGTCAAGTAGATGCAGTTTTAACTAGAAGCCTGAGTTGTACCTAATAAAAGTTTAATATCTTAATTTATTAGACTTCTATTTTCTAAACCTAATGAGAATAACCCAAATTGCCTAAAAAGTTAGCACCATATGAACTAAATTAACATGGACTGATTTAAAAAGTCTGGCATATACTGAAGATTTGAGACAGAATTGCACTGGCATGAACCACCTTAGGAAAGCACTATAGAAACAGTATGGGAAATAAATCCTACCTTTAACTGTTTTTACAAATGTTTGTTTTTCTTTATTTGGATCTTTGTCATCTACTAAAATCCCATGGAAAATACGCCCAAAAGTACCTAAAGGAAAAAGAATAATTAATGAGTTCATATGATAACCTTCATTAATTATAAGTACAAAACTTTCTGGTGTAATTTAAAACAAATATAATGTGTTTTGTTTTAAAGGTTATATGTGATAAACACTACCCAGCCCTAGAGTAAAAAGATCCAAATCTTTGTTTCCTAACGACTAGTAGAAGTTATTTGTAACTATGAAATAACTTGCTTTTAGGAGTGCCATATTAAACTAAGTATGTGAGAATTCTTTCTGAATTATCCTAAATAAACTAACGATACAGTCAGGAGCACTGGGGCTTAGTAACAGGATATCAACAGAGGCATTTATGAGTTTCTACGCTTAGCCTCAGAGCAATGACAAAGGAAGAAGATGGATTCTATTCATACACTCAAAAATAGACCCCCAAACTCTGCTTCTGTTAATTACTATTATTACTATTTGCCATTGGGACAGCCTCACTTAGCTGTGACTGACCTGTAACATCCCAGCTAACAAATGAATTCATAATGACTAATCTGCATCCAAAACATTCCAAACTGCATTAGGAGAAGGGAAAAGGAATCCTCTATTAACAACTTGGGGACTGCAATGAAGTATTTTACTATTAGTTTCTGTCCCCTTCTTTCAGCACCTCCCCTATCAATGCCTTAAAAATCAAGAAAGAAAGTAAGGACCAGCAAGTGGGGAAGGCAAGGGCACTAGTAGCTATTAGACACCTACGATGTGTTAGTTCACTTAGTGTGCACCACTTCACCTAATCTTCACAACTAGTCTAAGAATAGAAATTACTTAGAATATTTCAGAAACACCTGCTAGGTAGAGATCACGTTTAAACAAGAACTAAACAGAAAATGTACTTTAAAGGTAACAAACACACATATATATGCACTTAAATATACTTAAAAATCAAGAAATACATCAAAGGTGTATTAAGGCAAATTTAAAACCTAAAGAAAGGGAAAATGAAAACCAATTTTATAAAGGAAATAAAGTGTTACTGCTTTCTATCTGTAGGCACAAAATGAGGTGAAATTCTTAAAATCTGAAACAAAAAAAACGTTATAGTGCTAAGATTCAATTCCTTGAAGAAGTGATTTTGCGGTAAAAAATACCTTCTTGGAGTACATCTTTTAGTGTTATCCTCTCCCTGGATATTGCTATATCCTTCACCTTTGCTTTGGCCTCCAAAAGAGTGACACTTCTCAAGTCATTCTTCTCTATCCTCAAGGTAGGATAACCTGAGGAGCCAACAAAGCGAAACCAAGAAATATAAATACCCTTATTATGGCACCAGGGCCAACTTGTTCAGTTAGAACCTCAGGACTCAGGTAATAGTAATGAATGAATGGATGCAAGAATCATAAAAAGAAACAGGCACACACATGAACAGGGAGAATTACTTGTGAAGGCCATGCAAAATATTGAAAAGCAACACTTATCCACCTACCCCAAAAATCTTAAACTGCAGAATTAAGACAAGAAGCACTAAAATTAATGTTACCGTTACCAACACATCAATTGCCTTTCAGCTAAAAGAAACAAACTTTGACTCATGGAATTTAATTTAAACCTTCTATGGACTGTTTTTCTCCCACAGAACTTTTTAAATAAAGACATGTTTGTAAAAATATCTTTTTTAATAAAACATATGATTGATTTTATCATTCTAGTATTCATACAGTCTACTCATACCATTGTGGGATTCCTATTTATTTTTCAGTTCTCTTAATTCCCATTCATTCTTAATATGATAACAGCAAAAACAAAATGTCTAGACGTAAATTAAAATTTCATTCCAAAAAAATACTGGAATAAAAGGAACCAGTGTTAGCAAACAGGAATTGGAAAGGTATCTTTAATGATTTACTTGCTTTGGTAGCTATTGGGAAGAAAAATCCCTAAAGAATTAGTGGACCTAGACAATGATCACCAAAGTCTGCGAGAAGAACCGCATGCGAAGCTTTGGGGAACCTTACAACAAATGGATCAGGCTGACAGCACCCGATTCCACTGGTAATCAGTTTGACCATGGTAAGTCCAGGTGCATGAGTCTGTGTGAGTGTATCTGTATGTGTTTAATCCTGCCTGGGGTTCTCTCAGTATCTTAATTTGTAGTCTGTTGTGTGTGTCATTTTAGAAAATTCCTGGTTATTATGTCTTCAAATATTTTTTCTACTCCTTTCTTTTTCTATTTTTATTTATAAAAAATATATTTTCATTGAGTTTTTTAAAAGTATTTTTATCATACATTTAATGTTCACAAGAATTAATTTCTTACTAATGGTAACTGAAAATTTTAATAAGTAGTTTTTGCTGACTTTTTAAAAAAGTATTTTGCTTTTCGCATATATAATAATTGAATTATCTATCTCTTTAAGGTTATATCCACAATCAAGAATTGATTTTAATGAGCAAAACTTAGCCTCTAAACATTAAAGCAATGATGTTTTATTCTGAACAGTTTGGACTACTCTTACATCTATCATTGTACCTTCTGAAGAGCATGTATTTATTCCTTTCATTGGTGGTGATGGTAACTGCTGCCTTTTAAAACTACAGCACCCTTTCCTTCCCTTTTTTTTTCTTGCCACTGTCTTATTACAGATCCAGATCAGTTCTTCTGGAGAATGTCTGGCATTTGCTTTTTTGAATATCATTTAACCTGTTCCTCTGTCTCTGTATTTCTTATAAACTGCCAGTCAATCCTGTGGTCTTGACTGAATTCAAGTTAACTATGGTTGGGTGAGGAGAAACAAGAATACTCTCTGGGTGGTACATCACATATAGGAGTGCAAAGTATCTAGCATGGCTACTTTTACTGATGACAAGTTTCATTAGTGAATTCAGGCAGTGACAGTCTGATCCCTCAAATAGTGAAGTTCCCCATTTCCCTTTGTTGGAAGGATTTTAAAGACTGGTGATCTTTTCCTGAATCAAATATTTTATTAGGGGGTGCAAATATGATTTTCTATCATTCCTTCCACATTTGTTTGCTGGGATTCTTCTATAAAGAAGCATTTTCCCTCATTAACTAGAACTACCTGGTTACTCCAAAATAGTCACCATTTGTCAGAGTATCACTGGTGCCTTAGTTACCTTGTATGAGTTATCGTATAAGGACCAATTTTTAAAAAAGTTTTATTATAAACTCACAGATTTTTACCCATTTTATGTTTCAATACATTGTAGTCATTATTATTATTATTATTATTATTATTATTTGATGCTCAAATAGTCGCATCTTCAGGAGCTCTTCAAGTCTTTAGCAGTTTTTATGATTTTTGGCTCAGCAACATGATCCAGGTTTATCTCATACATTACTGACCCAGTCCTGAGACCATCCATTTCTCCAAGGAATCTTGTTGTTGTTGTTTTTCATGGGAAACAGTATTGAAAGGCCACACCAGGGCACTGGGTGAAGGACAGATATTCTTAGTTTTCTGAAGAGTAAATGCCAGCCCAAGGAAGGTAACAGTTAATTGACTCTAAGAACCTAATTAATCATGCCAGCACTAAACCGAGCCCTGACTTGTGGCCTGCTGCTTATCCTGATGACTACATTGTTTCTTATTGGCATGGTGACTGATTCCTCATTATGTTTAAATAACACCCTAAGAATAATTATTTTTCCCCAAACATCTACATGTTACAGTGTAAAAACTTTCATCAAAATCCTATTATAGAAAAAAAGGGAATCATATCCCAGGCTCTTAATTCTAATGACAGCTAGCTTCCTATCATGATTAGAAAACAATGTAAAGTCCATACCATGCCCATAAGACTATCAAACAATTCATTAAAATTCAAGTCTCTGTCTTCGTGCAGCTCAATGGCTTATTTATCTAACTACCTGAAAACTTTCCTTCTGAAGTGATTCAGTAGTCCTTTTAATATAATTAATGCATGGAAATCTCCCCAAAACTAATTCTAGCAATGAAACTTAAATTTTATTTTAATGCTCCAATTTTAGAACATTTCATTCAATGCTCCAGAAAGCAAAAGTTGAGGACCGAGCCTAACCTTGCATATATTAGATACCACACACCTAGTATGGTATACATGTCCCACAAGTAACTAACCACACAGGACTATGGAGAGACAGGCCACAGACAACTTCAGGAAATCATCTTTACAATTAAGTTAACTCTTACTGGTGATTGGAGTTGCATTGTTGGGCGTGTCAGCTCTCAGGTACTGAGTCGTCTGGGTAGATGGCTGAGACAGCCCTTGGGAGCTACTGCTGGCACTGATGCTGCAAACAATATTTAGGAGATAAATATCTGGCAAGTAAGCTTCAATGAGAAATTTCACTTTTTCATATATACAAAACACATGTAGTTATTATAATCAGCTTAAAATTCTGATGGAGATCATAATAACGCTGGCTCTCCATCACAAATGTTCCGTATTGAAATTTTAATCTTCCTCATAATGTACAGCTTTGTTTTGTCCCCCTTTTCTCCACCATCACCAAGTAGCATTTTCTAATGAAAGTCATTCAGAAGTACAGGTACTAGTCCTTAAACACCACACCTGGCAGTCTAAAGCCCCACACAATGGGAACTATGGATTACCTCTTTAAAAAAAATGCCCATGCTATTCAATTAGATTGCTTCTAAGAACAGGAGTAGAAAGACAGGCCTCTTTTAATGATGGTCCAAATTCAGATGGCATACGGGTGAGAGAATATCAAAGCAAATCAAATATGCCAACAAGGTCAAAGCTTGGGAAGGGGTATCATATCTGGCTCAAGCTTGTTTAATCACATATACTTTGTTTCTTCCCCAGTTTCACCTTTTTAGAATGTATGGAACTTATCAGAAATCTCTAGTACTTGAAGCATTCCATTCCATCATATTCTCTAAATAGCACAGGAGACCCATAAGACAGTAGGCTCAAATAACTGTCAACACTGTATTCAAGATTGCTACAATCAAGCCTCTTAAACTTGTACATTTGTCTTTTCAGTTAATAACCACCTTATCCCAGGTCATCCTTGGGCACATTCCAGTTCCACTCCCTCAGCCTTTGAATTTTGCAGCAGTGGAGAAGTGAAGCACAGAAATTCAGCATGAACAGTGAAAGCAGATGGCAGATGTCATCCCAGACTGTTACTATAAGCTTTCCATGCCTTCCCTTAGCTGTAGGATCAGCAGGGTTCAATCAGAGGCCTCCAAATTTCCTTAATATATAAAATCTTATAACTTACCACACCACGACACAATAATTCTACATTTGCAAAACCTGGTGAGTAAGTACATAAGACAAAAATTCAAGAATTGCTCTATTAGCCTACTCACACGGTAGGTGTGGGGCAGTGCAGTGAAGAGAGAGGGAACATAAACCTTGACTTCAAAACTGCCAGCACCATCATTCACTGGCTATACGATCTTGGGCAAACTAATAGTTTTCATAAAATCATCTCCTGACAAGGTTGCTGAAAGGATTATATGAAAAAAAATAAGGAAAGCACTTAAGACAGTGCCTTGGCTGTCCTCAAACATACATTTACAAATTATTGTTGATATTATATATCCTCAATCCTTAGAATGATAACAGGTACCTGTTTTTAGAGTTCTGAGAACTACTCAAAGATCAGACTAGAAATCAGTATTGTTAAAAGGATTCAATAATGGAGAAGAAAGAGATTACTATTCCCCAAAGAGGGGAGAAATAAAGGATTTTAATTTATTAATCCATAAAATGGGGTTAAGAAAACCTATTTCCCAGGGTTTTTATGAGGTCCAAGGTGTATAAGGTGTATAATATATGTGAAAGTACTACTTAAATATTACCTGCAACCAACATATACTGGTGGTTGAATAAACACCCAGGCCCCAAATTTGCTAGTTGTGTTTCTCTCCAGTAACTGAACAGTAGGTGGCACTCTTGTACCACTTCAGAATTCTTGAAAAGACTGGCCATACAATGTTGAGTATGCATGTTAATTTTCTTTCCTTCTACAGATATTTCACGGATCCCTACAATGATCCAACCACTATGTTAAGTGTTCAGAACAAACTTCTGAAACCCTAGATTTACTGCTAAGAGAGAAGTAGGGAGCAGTTGGGGAATCTACCCTCCAACACCTATTTAAGCCAATTCTAAATAGCTACATGACAGGAGGCGGAAAACGAGATAAAAATGTACATTTGCTAGCACTTAATAGTTTAAAGCCAGTCTAAATAAATTACCTCACTTGATTTTCATAAGCAAGTAAGATTAGTTATGCAAATATGAACCCTACTTTAGAACTGAAGTTAGAACTTAGGGCAAAGATCATCATTGTTTTTCAGAACACTTAACACAATTTGTGCTTTTTATTTTTTGTGTAATTCATTTATTTATTCACAAAACAAATATTTACTGTCTACTACATGCCAGCTACTGTGCTGGGGATACAACAGTGAACATAATAAACAAAGATCTCCACCTTCATGAAGCCTATATTCCACTTCCTGTTTAAAATCTGTCATGCTCAAGCAGATGACAAACTCCAAGAGGGCAGGAAAAGTGCCTGCTAGTCCACCCCTTCCTGCCCATCACTGAGTCAGTGCCTGGCACAATAGGCCCCAGGTGGCCTGAGTCTCAGTGAGAGCTCAATAAACTACTTAATCAAATAATCAATGCATAGAGAAAACCACACTTCATTGGAATAGAAGGACATAATCCAGACAAAATTTTGTTTCTGATGTGAGCTGCTGATATATACTGAAAGAGGCGAAGAATTATTGATATGGCTTTTTGCCTCTTTCTACTATTTTTCACTCAATATTCATTCAACAGATACCTGTCAGGCATCAGATATAGAAACAAATAAAAAGAAATAAAGGGACCTTGTTAACCAGTAATGATGAGGGTGGTGGGTAATGGAGAAAATGGGAAATGAAGATATTGCCAAATAAGAAGCTCAAGTATCCAACAAAATAGGAACAAACTTTCCGACAGTCATGAACTAACAGGGAAAGACTGCAGTGTGGACAAGCTGCAGATCAATCCTTCCACTGAAGGACTTCAGAGTGAATGTGGAGAGAAATTGCCTCTACATACAGAGACTGAAGAGTATTGGGAGAGGAAAAGCCACATACATGGGCTCCACCTGCCCACAGCATGAGCACATCTCAGGCAGTTTTATTCTCTGCCTCTAAAGAAGTTCAGTGGATAACAGGACTCTGGCTCCTAAATGCCTGGACTGGGGGAACTCTCTACCATTCCCATCCAAGGAATTCCATGAAACCATGGTTTTCATCAAATCTCACAGGGCTGCTGTGAGAATTAAGGGAATTAATAGATGCAAAGCACATGGAACAGTGCCTGGCACATAACAAGTACTTTAAACATACAATACTGAGATATTACAACACAGCTATTATACAATGAGTCCCTCCTGTCACTCTGCCCTGGTCCTAGCAGTACAATCTTGGAAAAGTTAATCTCTTTAAGCCTGTTGCTTCACCTTTAAAATAAGGACAGTACCATATCATTGCTTGGCTATGGGTGTCAAGCAAGATAATACATGTCAAGTACTTGGTAAACAGAAAACAGTAAAATGGTAGCCATTGCTATCTCAGTGGCCCCTATTCAGAGAGATGCAGCATGTGTCTCTTAAATGCTATTAGAGATGGGAACCTTCTTGTCACCACCGTTAGCTTCCTGGCAAGTAAAAAATAAGGCTAGTAGAACATGAAAGGGATGAAGAAGAAATTAGCCCATCAAGCACACCAGATACTAGGTACTAGCACACTGTACCTTTTTGAAACAAAAGTCATAATATGGCACTTACCTATATGCAGGGCTGTGTTCTAAGAGCTTACAATATCATTTCCTTATCACTTCACAACATCTCTATCAAGCATGTGCCATTATTTTCTCTGCCTTATAGATGAGGAAAATGGAGACATAGAGAGGCTAAATAACATACTCTATTAAGGCCATAAAGTTAGTAAAGTAAAAGCCAGAACTCAGAAATGTTCTGGGGCTCCAGAGACCATTCTTTACCAAGAGGCTGTGCTCTAAAAACCAGTGAAAATATAAGATGCTTTTATTCAGGCAATGTCTGGAAACCTCTGTCTGAAAACTAGAGAGAACTGGCACACCAATTCATTGAAAACTAGAGAGAACTGGCACACCAATTCATGGGTGGTAACTGGTTATTTCAGCAAGCAGAGAGGGCTTTCCCCTGTGGAATCTGAAAGTTCTTGCACAACTGTGGCCTATGGAGGTTCCCAGCCCAAGAACACATGCAGGGGTTCAAGGAAAATGTATACATCCACACTAAATGTCATGCTCCTCAGTGACCCCTCCAACTCTACTGTATCCTCTCCTTCAGAGTCCTATCAAGATGTTCTATTACTTCATTTCCCCTTCAGTTGCTTTCTAATGCCATTTTTTCCTCTATAAAAGCTAAATCTAATTTCAACATTACTGTATACATAAAACATATTCTGAAACACATCACCCAAGTATTTTCCTTCTCATTCTTAGCTCCTTTCTCTTCTTTCTCTATTCAGATAAAGAAAGTAATGCAGTAGGGACAGAATACTTAGGGGCAGGTATTGAACTCAACTAGGTCCCCTGTCCGCTTGTGATTTTGATACATCCCACATATAGGCTTACCCATTGTATATGTGATACTGTGTAAGACTGGGGATTCAGCAATCAGTAAGACACTCACTCCTTAATTGTCCAGTAGGAAAGACAAGTACACAAAAAGTGATTAAGGAAGGAAAAAATACTGTAATTGCTACCAAAAAGAGAGACAGAGACAGTGGGAATAAGAAAGAGACAAGGAGAGGAAGATAAATAGACAGTTGACAGGTACAGAAAAGACTTCATGACAGAGATGGCAATGGAGTTAAAATCTGAAGAATTGACAGGGTTTGGACTGGTGAACAATGCAGGGAGTGCCAAGCGCAAAAGGAAAGCGTGAACAAAATCCCTGAGCGGCAAAGTGGAGGGTCAAAGGGAGGAACAAGGATCACTTGACTGCAGCGTAAGTAAGGATATGGTAAGAAATACAGAAAGGTTCAAAGAATATGGGAGACACATCTCCAATAAAGAATGGCTTTGAAAGCCAAATCATAAAGCTGGGAATGTCTTCAGTCAGCAACTGGTTATTCCTGGGAATTACCGAGGAGGGAAATGAGAACCTGTACTGCAAAAACAAACCTATCTGTCATTCCATCTTCACCTCTCCCTACCCTAGCTATAATGTTCTCCTTGTCCTCTCTGACTCACCCATGCTGGGACAGGCACCTTTTGTATTTTATACACTATCCTACATACATCATAATCATCAAATTTACAAAGTTTTATAATTATGGGTTAATGTTAAAGATTACATAGTTGAAGCCATAAGGTATATCATTACATTTTTTATTCCCAGCCACTTAGCATAATATCTAACCTAGTGCATCTCAAAGGCTACACATTAGAACCATTCAGAAAGCTTCAAGAAAAATACTGATGCGCAAACATCACTTCAGACCAATTACATCAGAATCTCTGGAAGGTGGGACTCAAGCACTGATGTTTTAAAAGCTTACCCATGATTCTAATGTGCAACCAGGTTGAGAACCAATGGTTTAAATCACAGCAGGTTCTCAATAAACATCTACTGGATGGAAAAATGGATGGGTGGGTAATGGCGGGATGAACTAGGAGGAAGAAACAGAGCTATTTTAAAAAGGTACAGTCATGTTGATGAGGATGGGGAAAGTTTCTGAGCTCTACTTCTTCCCCACCAACTAATAAACTGTAATATCTCACTTCACAAATTTAGACATAAAAATCAGAGAAACACAATGACAGTAATTACAAAGAGTAACTTTTCCTTTGCCTAGGCTTAATTGCCCTCCCTTCCTTCCCCTACACCACTGTGCATCAGTATGCATGGGTGTGTGTGAGTTCCCATGTAAATACAAATAACTGCTTTATTTCTTCCTTTCTCAAATGTGTACAATACCTGTCATCCAGTTCAATCCTTTTCATACTATGAAGGTGCAAAACAGCTAATATTATTGCTACAAGAAATATTACTGCACAGCAAACCCCCACACTAATATAAAACACACGCGTAGAGGTAGTTGGAGCTGCATGTACAGGATCATCTGAAATAAAAATGAAAAAGCATGTTAAGCTTTTTAAACAACTATCAAAAACTGCTTTGTGACCCAATATATACAATGAGTACCCTGTTCTTTGTAAAAGAGATTTCTATTCCATGTATCTCTTCTTTGATGAGATAGGTTACAAATAGTGTGTTAATATAAGTTCATGTAATTTTTTAATGCTTTTGTTGTAGTTTTAAAAGTGTTTTAGGGGAAAAAAAGCAGGTGTTGCAGTACTTGTATCAGACAAAATAGACTTCAAAAGAAAGAAAGTTACAAAGGACAAAGACGGATATTACATAATAATAAAGGGGTCAATCCAACAAGAGGATATAACTGTCATAAGTATCCATGCACCCAACACAGGAGCACCTACATATATGAAACAAATACTAACAGAATTAAAAGGGGAAATAGAATGCAATGCATTCATTCTAGGAGACTTCAACATTCCACTCACTCCAAAGGACAGATCAATCAGACAGAAAATAAGGACACAGAGGCACTGAACAACACATTAGAACAGATGGACCTAACACACATCTACAGAACTCTCCACCCAAAAGCAGCAGGATACACATTCTTCTCAAGTGCACATGGAACATTTTCAAGAATAGATCATATACTAGGCCACAAAAAGAGCCTCAGTAAATTCAAAAAGGTTTAAATTGAACCAACCAGCTTCTCAGACCACAAAGGTATGAACCTAGAAATAAATTACACAAAGAAAAGAAAAAAGCCTACAAACATATGGAGGCTTAACAACATGCTCCTAAATAACCTATGGATCAATGACAAAATAAAAACAGAGATCAAGCAATATATGGAGACAAATGACAACAATAATTCAACAACGCAAAAAAACTGTGGGACGCAGTGAAGGCAGTGCTAAGAGGGAAGTATATTGCAATACAGGCCTACCTCAGGAAAGAACAATCCCATATGAACAGTCTAAACTCACAATTAGTGAAACTAGAAAAAGAAGAACAAATGACGCCCAAAGTCAGCAGAAGGAGGGACATAACAAAGGTTAGAGCAGAAATAAATAAAATCGAGAAGAATAAAACAATAGAAAGAATCAATGAAAGCAGGAGCTGGTTCTTCAAGAAAATAAACAAAACAGATAAACCCCTAGCCAGATTTATAAAGAAAAAAAGAAAGTCTACACACATAAACAGAATCAGAAATGAGAAAGGAAAAATCATGACAGATACCACAGAAATACAAATTAATTATTAGAGAATACTATGAAAAATTATATGCTAACAAACAGGATAACCTAGAAGAAATGGATAACTTTCTAGAAAAATACAACCTTCCAAGGCTGACCCAGAAAGAAACAGAAAATCTGAACAGACCAATTACTAGCAAAAAAATTGAATTGGTAATCAAAAAACTACCTAAGAACAAATGCCTAGACCAGATGGATTCACTGCTGAATTTTATCAAACATTTAGTAAAGACCTAATACCCATCCTCCTTAAAGTTTTCCAAAAAGTAGAAGAGGAAGGAATACTCCCAAAGTCATTCTATGAGGCCAGCATCACTCTGATACCAAAACCAGGCAAAGACCCCACCAAAAAAGAAAATTACAGACCAATATCCCTGATAAACAGAGATGCAAAAATACTCAACAAAATATTAGCAAACCGAATTCAAAAATTCATCAAAAAGATCATCCATTATGATCAAGTAGGATTTATACCAGGGATGCAAGGATGGTACAATATTAGAAAATCCATCAATATCATCCACCACATCAACAAAAAGGACAAAAACACATGATCATCTCCAGATGCCAAAAAAGCATTCAACATCCATTCATGATAAAAACTCTCAATAAAATGGGTATAGAGGGCAAGTACCTCAACATAATAAAGGCCATATATGACAAACCCACAGCCAACATCATACTAAACAGCGAGAAGCTGAAAGCCTTTCCTCTGAGATCGGGAACAAGACAAGTATGCCCACTCTCCCCACTGTTATTCAGCATAGTCCTGGAGGTCCTCGCCATGGCAATGAGACAACACAAAGAAATAAAAGGCATCCAGATTGGTAAAGAAGAAGTTAAACTGACACTGTTTGCAGATGACATGATATTGTACATAAAAAACCCTAAAGAATCCACTCCAAAACTACTAGATCTTATATCTGAATTCAGCAATGTTGCAGGATACAAAATTAATACACAGAAATCTGTTGCACTGCTATACACTAATGATGAATTAGCAGAAAGAGAAATCAGGAAAACAATTCCATTCACAACTGCATCAAAAAGAATAAAATACCTAGGAATAAACCTAACGAAGGAATTGAAAGACCTATACACTGAAAACTACAAGAAACTCATGAGAAATTAAAGAAGATACCAATAAGTGGAAACACATCCTGTGCTCATGGACAGGAAGAATTAATATTGTCAAAATGGCCATCCTGACTAAAGCAATCTACAGATTCAATGCAATACCTATCAAAATACCAAAAAGATTCTTCAATGAACTAGAGAAAATAATTCTAAAATTCATATGGAACCACAAAAGACCCTAAATAGCCAAAGCAATCCTGAGAAGGAAGAATAAAGCTGGGGGGATTTATGCTCCCCGACTTCAAGCTCTACTACAAAGCCACAGTAATCAAGACAGTTTGGTACTGGCACAAGAACAGACCAATAGACCAATGGAACAGACTAGAGACCATATATAAACCCAAGTATATATAGTCAATTAATATATGATAAAGGAGCCATGGACATACAACGGGGAAATGACAGCCTCTTCAACAACTAGTGTTGGCAAAACTGGACAGCTACATGCAAGAGAAGGAAACTGGATTATTTTCTAACCCCATACACAGAAGTAAACTCTAAATGGATCAAAGACCTGAATGTAAGTTATGAAACCATAAAACTCTTAGAAGATAACATAGGCAAAAATCTCCTGAATATAAACATGAGCAACTTTTTTCTGAATGCTTCTCCTCAAGCAAGGGAAACAAAAGTAAAACTGAACACATGGGACTATATTAAACTTAAAAGCTTCTGTACAGCAAAAGACACCATCAACAGAACAAAAAGACATCCTACAGTACGGGAGAATATATTTGTAAATGACATATCCAAGAAGGGGTTGACATCCAAAATATATAAAGAACTTACATACCTCAAAATGAAAAAAGCAAATAACCTGATTAACAAATGGGCAGAGGATATGAAGAGATGGTTCTCCAAAGAATAAATTCAGATGGCCAACAGACACATGAAAAGATGCTCCACATCACTAATCATCAGGGAAATGCAAATTAAAACCACAATGAGATATCACTTCACACCAGTAAGGATGACCAGCATCGAAAAGACTAAGAACAAATGTTGGCAAGGATGCGGAGAAAGGGGAACCCTCATATACTGCTGGTGGGAATGTAAGCTAGTTCAACCATTGTGGAAAGCAATAAGGAAGTTCCACAAAAAACTAAAAATAGAAATACCATTTGACCCAGGAATCCCACTTCTTGGAATATACCCAAAGAATACAACCTCTCAGATTCAAAAAGACATATGCACCCCTATTCACCGCAGCACTTTTTACAATAGTCAAGATATGGAAGCAACCTAAGTGTCCATCTGTAGATGAATAGATAAAGAAGATGTGTTACATATACAATGGAATACTATTCAGCCATAATAAAGAAACAAATCCTACCATTTGCAACAACATGATGGAGCTGGAGGACATTATGTTCAGTGAAATAAGCCAGGCAGAGATAGATAAATGCCAAATGATTTCCCTCATTTGTGGACTGTAACAATGAAGCAAAACTGAAGGAACAAAATGTCAGGAGACTCAGAGACTCCAAGAATGAACTAGTGCTTACCAAAGGGGAGGGGTGTGGGAGGGCAGGTGGAGAGGAAGGGAGAAGGGGATTGGGGAGTATTATGTTTAGTACACAGGGTGTGGGGGATCACAGGGAGAACAGTGTATCACAGAGAAGGGACATAGTGGATCTCTGGCAACTTGCTGCACTGATGGACAGTGACTGCATTGGGGTATGGGTGGGGACTTGATAATATGGGTAAATGTAGTAACCACATAGCTTTTTCATGTGAAACCTTCAAAAGAGTGTATATCAATCATACCTTAATAAAAAAAATTTTTTTTATTAAAAAAAAAATAAGTAAAAAGAACTCACACGCCTCAACACCCAAAAAGCAAATAACCTGATTAAAAAGTGGGCAGAGGATATGAACAGGCAATTCTCCAAAGAAGAAATTCAGATAACAGGCACATGAAAAGATGTTCCACATCACTAATTATCAGGGAAATGCAAATAAAAACCACAATGAGATCACCTCACACCAGTTACAATGGCCAGCATCAAAAAGACAAACAACAACAGGAGGATGTGGAGAAAGGGGAACCCTCCTACTCTGCTGGTGGGAATTTAAGCTAGAAATACCATTTGACCCAGGAATTCCACTCCTAGGAATGTACCCAAAGAATACAACCTCTCAGATTCAAAAAGACATATGCACCCCTATGTTTATTGCAGCACTATTTACAATAGCCAAGATATGGAAGCAACCTAAGTGTCCGTCAGTAGATGAATGGATACAGATGTGGTACGTATACATAATGGAATACTACTCAGCCATAAGAAAGAAACAAATTCTGCCATTTGCAACAACATGGATGGAGCTGGAGGATATTATGTTCAGTGAAATAAGCCAGGTGAAGAAAAACAAGTACCAAATGATTTCCCTTATTTGTGGAGTATAACAACAAAGCAAAACTGAAGGAACAAAACAGAAACAGACTCAGACTCCAAGAAGGGACTGGCGGTTACCAAAGGAGAGGGGTTGGGGAGGGTGGGTGGGGAGAGAGGGAGAAGGGGATTCAGGGGTATTATGACTGGCACACATGCTGTGGGGGGGATCATGGGGAAGACTGTGTAGCTCAGAGAAGGCAAATAGGGACTCTGTGGCATCTTACTACACTGATGGGCAGTGACTGCAATGGGATATGGGGGGCCACGGTAAAGGGGGTAAATGTAACCACATTGTTTTTTCATGTGAAACCTTCGTAAGAGTGTATATCAATAATACCTAAATAAAAAAGTTTTTTTAAGTGTTTTAAATAGAACTTTTGGCTGATGCGTATACATATAATAAACTAGGTACAGCAGTGCTGTCCAACAGAAGTTTCTGATGGAAAAGTTCTACAGTGTGTTGTGGAATACAGTGGCTTATGGCCACCTGTGGCCATTAAACACTTGAAGTGTAGCTAGCAAAACTGAAGAAATGAAGTTTTAATTTTATTTCATTTTAATTAATTTAAGGTGAAAACCACCTGTGGCCAGTAGTTACCATACTAGACACCAGAGATCTACAGATCTTCACATTTCCTCAGCAGTGATGCCTGGAGTGGTAAGATTAGACATCTTTGTTGCCAACCACTAGACTCACAGGAAAAGGAATACACAATGGAGTGACCCACAAATTTAAATAAAACAACAAACTTTGAAGCTTTTTATCTTTTGAGAGTAACAAATTATTTTGCTTATGTGTTTTTAAAAAGCAGGAAAACAAGACTGTCCTCAGAAATAAAATATATTCAGTTTTATATTACTCAAAAAAGAGAAAGAGAAAGAGAAAGAAAGCCTCAGCATTAGGGGATATAACCCAAAAGACATACAGACACAGATGCAAACTGAGAAAGACACACAAAGATACATATGAAATGAAGTAGCAGAGTAGAAGACACAGAAATACAAGCAGAACTGGTGTGACTGGAGATTCAAGTTTTCACAATGAATACTAACATTGTAATTCTACTAAATAAAACCTGAGAAATTTAGGTTTATCTTAAATGAGATGGGAAATCATTGTAAGTTTTCAAGCAAAGAAATGGCACACATCATCACACTTGAAGAAAAAACAAAGATGCTGTGTGAAGAGACGCTGTGGGTGAGAAGCACAGACACAGGGGACGGGTTAGAATGCTGGTAGAGGGATCCAAGAGAGACAGTGGTGGCCTGGTCAAAGTGTTCCTGAAGATGAGAAGTTAATGGACTGGGAAGAAGAATCAATGGACCTTGATAATGATTAAACTGGGGTAAAAAAAAAAAGAGGAATCAAAGCTTGGGCTTAAAGAATTAGGTGAATATGCTTTACAAAGATAAAAAGGCAGGCTGGGGGAGGAGAGAATCAAGAGATTATTCTGTTCAAGAGGACCTAGTACACATGTATATGGAGAGACCAAATTAACAGAAATGTGGTTTGGTGTTCTGAGGAAAGGTCTGGAGAAAAGATAAAAGTTGTAACTTTAAAAGACTTGGAAGTAAGATTGCTTTCTGAAAATTTAAACTTTGAATCAACAATCAGAATATCAATGCACAGAGACCAAATGGCTTCTACCGCAGTTAGACTTGACTGCAGCCTCAGTGCAAATACGACTTTCCTCAAGAGCGCCACGAGCTGCTCAGTCTAAGGAGAGGCAGAGAAAGAAGGTCCCAGAGACTGACATTGGCAGCACCCACCCAAGTATACTCCAGGGCAGAGATGAAGACACCACTCTGAGCAGGCCCCCCAAATGCATCCGGCTTAATGACCTCCAAAATTCGGGCCTCTGTACACGTTTCACTTGCTCCTGCCTGGAAATGCTCTGGGTTTCAGATGAGACGTCATCTCTCAGGAAGCCGTCCCCCTCCCTCTGAGGTCACAGGCCCTCTCCAGGGTTCCGGGAGCACCTGCACCTGCCTTGTCACAGCTTTCCGCACGGTCATGAGCACTGCCTGTCACCTTGTCCAACTCATCAGCTACATTACAAGACCTTGAGGGCAGGATCTGTTTTGCTTTCTGATTTTAATCCTCTGCCTCAATCATACCACCTGGCACATCAATCACAGACTCTCAGGAACTGCTGGGTAGATGGACAGAGAGAGAGGGAAGAAGACAGGGAGCAAGGAAGAGACAGACACCAAGAATAAGCAGTACTCTATTCTCTTTATGAGAAATAATATCCTACTAACATAAAAGAAATGGGTAAAATCACCAGAATTTTAAAAGTAAACATAGGGAGCAGTGATATTTTTAAAAAGTTTCCTTTCTTCTCAGAGATGACTCTAAATAAGTAGACAATATATCATATTATTTTATCTTCAAAAAAGGAATCTTTTTATCTACTTTGGGACATCCAGATACTTTATACCTCCAAAGGTAATGAAAAAGAAAATAGGAAGCACATACAAAAAACTCTATGGACTATTCTTGCCAAGGGTTGGTTCTAAATCTAATCAAGTATAAAACCTAACTACCAGTTTAACAGAAAAAATACATGTTACATGACACTACGAGGAAATTCTATGGGACAAATGACTCAGTTTCTCTAACAAGTGATATTAAAGGAAAAAGTAGTTTCTGATAAATATAAAATACATGTCAGCCAAATACAGTATGTGCAGGCTTTATCTGGATCATGATTCGGGGGAGAAACTATAAAAAGCCATTTTTGAGACAATTAAGGTTAATTTGAACATGGAAGATATAAAGAATTTATGTTAATTTTTTAAATGTGATAAAGTAAATACAACTGAATAAATGTTGGGTGATTGCAGGCTGCTTTTTAATGGCCTTTTTGAAAAAAGATACACACTGAAATATTTATGGGTGAACTGATGTAATGCCTGGGATGTGCTTTAAAATACCCTGCCCTTTGCCACCCACCTAACCTACCCAAAAAGGAGGAAGGAATCAATGGAACAACACTGGCAAATGTTGACTGTTATTAAAGTAGGGTAATGGCTATATGGGAGTTCATTAGCACATTAAGTCAACTTTTACATACTTGAAGTTCCCCCCACCTCCAGTTCTTTTAAAAAGTTTACTTCCACAAAGAGAATCTAGTAACCTAAAAAGATATTGCTACTGAAACTATCTGAGGAAGAGTAGGACTCAATGATGTGTTCATGTCAGAAAAGGTAAAAAGAAGTCTAAGTTATACTATCCAAATACGACCATTACCAAAAAATAAAAATCTACTCGTGAGTTGTTGCTCTATAGGTTTAAATAAGATGGTATTTTTAAGCTTGCATTTTCAACTGGATGAAATTAGCTGAAGGTCAGGTTCAGGCCACAAAGCAAACTTTCTAACCTTCTACATTTATAAACAGATGAAGATCTTACACATATTTCATGTTCATACTTCAATTATGAGTATTCATAACAGATGTGATACAAATTCTTGCTTATGAAAGTTTTTAGATCACTTACTGTGAAATATTCATAAATTTTACCTCACAAAGTATTCTATATTCTAATAGTGTCATCTGACTATATACCAATTTACAAAACAGTGAAATAAACAGCATGCCATCGTTTATCTTTGGACAAAGTGGAAACCACAGGCCTCCAAACTTCATGCAGTTATATTCATTTGCAGTCAACCATTTTTTATCCCTAATGATGGAGAAAGATAATACAATAACACTTACAAATAGTTCTGCTAGTGTTTTTGTCCACGGCTGAAGTTTTTACTTCTTCAAGTTCTGAATTCAAATGGAGACAAAAGATGCTTTAGAAATTCTTTCTTTTCCATGAAAATCCTTAAATACAATTATATTTTCTTAATTTTCTCTAAAATAGTTTAGTGTTTTATCAGACTATCACCTGAACTAAGTAACAGGGTTATTTGTTGAACAATAATAAATGCTACATTACTATTCTGATAATTTTCACTATAATCATCAGGTAATAGTCTATACCAGCATGAACATAAGGGTGTTACTCATAGATGCTCAGTAAAACAGGGTTTCTGTGGTCAAGAAACTTGGGGAAAGCCACATACTATAACCTCTGTGGAGGTTCATAATGCATATTAGCAGAATGTAAAGGCTCTAAAGAATTCTAGAGTAACAAAACTTGTCTGATCCAGTAATTCCTATCCTCATTAATATTCAATATAGTACAAATATGTTTTCTTCTGCAGAAAGTCTTAGAAGCATTGTAGGCTGGAAAATAAGGCAAATAAATATAGTAGGATCATACTAAAGTAAGAGTCACAAGTATGAACTGGATGATTGAGAATTATGACCAAATTATTACCACCAAGTAAAAAAGGAGGGTACTTATATCAAACTTAAGTCCAAAATAGAAAATTCACACCAACTGTTAATTTTAACGTTAATTTTGGTGTATAAAGAAATTAAAGAAGATGGAGAAGGTATGGAATCACTCTGAGTATCAGCTTATTATTAACCTTAGTGGATACTAACATTGGCAGGCTCCATGAACCAACACATTGGGCCATCATTCTGCCTTTAAGTATTTAAAGTTGAAGCATTGTTGGTATAGTCATCACCCACCTCCCTAGGGATCACAAACCAGGTATTTTACACACCTTACTAACTGACTGTGCAAGCTTAGGTGGCCTTTCTGGGCCCAGTCTCCTCATATTGATTATATAATGTATAGGTTGAACTAGAGAGTTTCTGAACTCCACTTTTGCTTTAAAATTACATGAAAGTAGGTACATAACTGAATACATTAGAACTGAAAAATGTATCAAAACAATAAAGATAAAGGTGCTGACTTTTCATTTTAAAAATGCCCGTTCTAATAAAGCACAACTTTTTTTTGGCATGTATCTGGACATTAGCTATTATAGCTCACTTGCTGGCCTCGGGTATTTTCATAACACTCAGCATTAACTTCAATTAGGAAATGTATTAAAAGACAGTTTAACAGTGAAGCTAAGAACTGGACGTGCATCCCAGCTATACCACTTGGCTGTCTGACCTTGGCAAACTGGTCAGATTCTCTGAACCTCAGTTGGAAAATGGTGATAATGAAAGAACCTACTGCCTGGGTTGCTGTAAGGATTAAATGGGTTTAATGTACATAAAGGCCTTGGAACATTGTAAGCACTAATAATGGCACAATAAGGTTAGAGGGTTTGGTTGTTTTTTTTAGGGTTTTATTTTCTACCTTGGATACTAACCAGCTCTCTGCCTATGTAACCTTGTAAATTCAGGTCACTTTAGTGCTCTAAGATAACCTTTAAGAAAAATTCTAAAATTCTTTGATCCATGAGCTACCATGCTGGAACTCTTTCATATCCACTGCAATTTCCTGAGTAACAGATTATTCACAACCAAAAGCTATTAATGTTTATTAAGTATCTACAAATGGTTATTCTAAACTTTAGGCTAGATTCAATTAATCTGCAAAAAAAAAAAAAATCCCAACAACTCTCAAGCAGGTTACTATGCCCATTTTACAGATGAAAAAACTGAGTCTTAGGTTAAGTATTTGTCCCAATATCCTGCCAACAGCAAAGCCCAATTTTTAGCTCAGGTCTGTATGGTCCCAGGACAATGCTCTGCCTAAAAGTAACTTCATGAGGGAAACATAGTTAACACTCAGTTCCTCAGGGATCCCTATCAGAATTACCTGATTTTTCCACTTCAGTCACTTTAGTACTATTTCACAGTCCTAATGGAAAATGTCCTAGCAATGCTGATAAGAGAATTTGAGAAAGCAGGACACAGTGAGATTCTGGGCAATCATCTTGGATTTTATTTGTTATATGGCCTCTATTTTCTCATTTGCAACTATAATCAAGATTTGATTACAAATCTATCAAAAGACAAAATCTATTTTTGGCCTTCTCATAATATATAAAACATACACTATGATATATAAATTACTTACTTTTGTAGCACATTTTCCTTCGTTTAAAATTTAAGACTGTAAAATTTTTTGAGGAATTTACTGTCAAGTTGAGCTGCATTAGTATCATAACCTCAGAATCTACTTTGCCAGTACAGGAAAGTTCGACCCGGAACACTGTTTAAAAAAAAAAAAATAAGAAAATATTTTGATTTTCTACAAATCAACATTAATGCCCATTAAATATTTCAGAGTTATTTTTGTTGCACTAGAACTAAACATAATACATTTACATAAAATACAAAGCAGAAACTTTCAGAGAAGTTAATCTTGAGACTACACAGCTTTAGATTAACTATTTCACTCATTATAGATATAAAAGTTAGCATTAAAGGACAAACTAAGACTGAAGGGAAAAGATCATTATTTTCAACTTTTGCTCATCATTTCTAATATAGCACATTGTCTTCTAGGTCCTCTTGTTATAATATAGTAAAACTATGGAATCAAAGTAAACCCTGCTTCCTTCCAAGTCACATGAGCAACAGTAACAAAAACTACCTGATAAACAGGAAAGATAACTCACCACCAAAATGCAATTATGATTGCTCGTAATGAGATTAAATATAAACCTGCAAATGAATCTGATCAATTCCCAACTATGAATTTTTTAAAAATCCAAAAAGAAACTGACTTCAATTATTGTAGCAATGGGATAACACACTTTCGTACACATCAATTTTTTTCACTACTTTAGTTTAAGATTCTTTTTCTACAAATTTAGAATATATCATTCTACCATCTCTGTGAGTGTATGAGAGAGATGGGCATTTGTGAATTTTACTGCTCCATAAAATTTAACCAGCTTTCCTTTTTTTAAAGTTTAGATTAATGTCTATCACAGTGAATAAGACTGCCAGAAAAGTTCCACAGTGCTGCTGTGCTTATACTTCTAAGTTTTAAAAATGTTCATTTTCTTAAAATCTTACATCTACAGGAGACTTTCTCAACAGTAGTTAAATTGGTATAAATATGACACATAAATCATTTACTCAAGCATGTACTAAGTGCCTATCCCATGCCAGATGCTATGCTAGGTACCAAGGGTAGTGAACTGAAAAAGACCGCTTCTGCCTTCAGGGTGACCACAGGCTAGCAGAGAGAGACAATAACAAAGAACTACAAGATAATACGACCAGTTCAAAAATTGTTAAACAGAAGATCCTATGGGGCAAGAAGAACAGAAAAAAGAGTTAACAGCAAAAGGGAGAGGAGGAGGCAGGAAAAGGAGAGTGCAAATTTTGATTCTTTAGGATGTTTAGTATGATGAGGAGCCCAGAAGAAGAAAAGAGGGAGATGGTTCCAAATACAGAGACCAGCACATGCAAAGGCATGGATGTCAGAACTGCATGTAGTGCAGCCCTGCTGGGACTCTGGGGCACCTGAAGCAACAAGGCTGGACAGGCAGACAGAGTCAGAGAGTAAGCAGAGCGCACACTGGCTGCAGTGTCTAGAACGTACTCAGCTGATGGGGGTGGGTGGTAATAATGGGTGTGATGTCACATGGTCAGATGTGAGTGTTTAAAGATCATCCAGGCCACAGTGTAGGAATTAATCGAAAAATAACAAGACCAAAAACACAGGCATCCCTGTGGAGACCAGTGTCACCAATGCAGAAAAGGAAATAAGGAAGAGCTGAGCATAGACAGTTCTAAAAGGGATGGAAAGGAATGAATGGTTTAAAATTCAATGCAAATAATCAATATTTGCAAAAAATTATTTTTCAAGTACTCACACACTTTATGCCTGTCAAGTAAGATACGCATCAGTAGTTAAACTATTCTTTCTGGGATATGGGAGACACAGTTGAATGCAGTGTATTCATTCTGTCTTAGAAACTCACCTGATAAAGTGCGTGGAACTTCCCCCTGAGCAGAAATGTTGACCTGGGGCATGTCCATAGCCACAAAATTGTCTACTTGGAATCCCAGCTTATATTCAACCTGAAAAATGGAGAAATAAACAAACTGGACCTATGATAACAGAAGACCAACAGCCTGACTTCAGTGATTAGCTCATAACTAATGAATGCATGAGGCTTTCATCTGTTCAAATACTCTATATATTTTTGGATGAAGATGTCTGCTCTACAGACCCACTCATCACACAAGCAGATTATAAGGCACAAATTTCTCATAGAATATTTAAGCCTTATACTTTACATTACTCTTTGTTCTGCCCACAGGATCTTGATAAGAACAGTATTCCTTTCTCATTCAGTGGTCACAGAGGTAGCTTTGGTGAAGGCTAGGATTGACAGAGTCCAAGAAGCAGAGGGCTGGGAAAAGTGCAGTGGGAAAGAGGTTCAAGAAAGCATTCTTTAAGAAACCTAACTAGAAGAGGGGAACCAGGTGTAGCAGGGAAAGGGAGGACAGATTCCAAAGCTTGTCTTTCTTCTTTTTACAGTGGGAAATAACCACAATTTGTTTATATGCTAATGAAAAAAGCCAATGAAATGGGACCTACTATGAAAGGAGACAGTATTATCCCAGATTATAAGGGAAAGGAGACAGCTGGGCATCAGCTGGGGCAGGCGGTGCTCACCCATGGATGAGAAGAAAGGCTCAATCTAGTGAATGTAACCCCCTCTACGACTCTCCTTTCACACTCGAAAATCCCTGAACATTTTACAAGTATGCAAATATTAAACTACTGCTTTGCAGTTAAGATGGTATACAAAGAATTGTTAAAGGCTGTATTTGGGAAAGGAAATGTTCTTACTGCTGTGCATCAGTGACTTGGTGATATCTGGACAGGAAGCCAAGTGGTCATTCTCATCCTAGCATGCCCCAGGACTGCCACTGCCACGGCCACTAGGAGGTGCTAGAGGGCTACCTCTAGCCTAGCAATTAGGGGTCAAGAATGAGCAGGCTTGCCAGCAGTACTAAGAATAACATTAAGAGAATGCATTGACTTTATCACTATATCCATGCTATCTCTGAACAGGACAATACATGAAGGGCAAGTGTACAAAATAAATTAAGCATAGTCAGCAGAACTGGATTAGAACCATGAGACTGTGTGACTCAAGTAAATTATTGGCTTTTCCTGAGTTTCAGTTTTTGTAGTATAAGGCTAATACATGTTATAAGGATCAAATAGGATATTCAATGCAACACACCTAACTATCAGCCTATCACAGGCCCCCTCTGACAAACACAGATCCCAGTGGCACCGGCAACCATTCCAGAGAAGCCCCCACATTGCCCGGCTGCCCTTCCCTGTAAGCACTAGCCTACTGCTGACCCGCGCCCTCCTGTGCTCTGACAAGAACACTGCTGCAGCCCTTCCATTTTGGCCCCCATCTTGGGAAGTCCACTATTCAAAACAGCCTCCCACATCCTTAGCCTCTCCACAAATGTCTTCCCTATCTTCTCCCCAACCTGGCTTTCCTCAGAAGTCATCTCATCCCCTATCACTCAGTTTACAACTCTGCAACCCTCACCTCAGGGCCTAGACAATAGGCTCAGCATTCTTTTAGGATCATTAGGTCTTTTCTAGGCATCCTTTTCTCATACTCTGAAGCTCACAACTTCTACTCACAGTGGCTACTCTCTACAATGCCATCAGTACTAACTACAGACACAGGACTTCACAGAGGCCTCGGCCCTTAGCTCACTTTGTCTCTTGCCACCTTCCTGGAGCTTCAGAATTAAGTATTCCTACATACTAAAGAATTGCACTATAACCAAAGTAAATGTAAAATTCCCACCCTTTTATAAAAGAGCCCATCACTGCCCCTGTTCATACAAAACCTTATGTCTTTGTCTCCAACACTCTGATTAAGCCAACATTTTTATTAAGTATCATTGATATATCATTGATATATATCATGATATCATATACTATCTTATGAAGGTTTGACATTAGCAACATTGTGGTTACAATATTCACCCATATCACCAAGAACCACCCCCCAACACCCCACTGCAGTCACTACCTGTCAGCATAGTAAGATGTGATTAAGCCAACATTTACGAAGCACATTTAGAAGCCAAGAACTGTCCTTGGAGCTGTGATGCAATGGCTAAAGGCCAATTATGCTATTTCCCTCCTCTCCAGCCCAGACAGTGACTTGGTTTCACTTTCCCACAGCCTGTGCCCCAAAGAAGACTACATTTTGATGCAGTCATATTAGCACCCTCAACTGGGTCACTCCGTCCCAACCATTAGAGGGCAGCCCCAGCCTGACCACCTTATTCTACTCTTGCTGCCCGGCACTGCTAATGGAAATCATACTCCAGGAGAGAAGGGAGCTCTTACACAAAGATGATTCCCACGCGCAGGGTCGGTCGGCCCTTAATCCTGCTCAGCAACCACCTCCTCACCAACCTCCTTCTCCCTAGCCTTCTCACTCCAACTCTCATGGCCCTCACTGCCTCGCCATCTGCTGCCCTCCCTGCTTCCTCACTCTAGTACACATGTTTTTGTTCCCTTCAGCTAGCACACAGGAATCCCCTTTCTGCCTTTCTTTTCTGCCCCAGGCAGCTCTGTTAGAGCACTTAACTTTTAAACTCCAATCTCAGAGAAAATATTTATTCTCTCCAAATGATAAATAAACCCTTCTCTCCTAGTACATCAGCTTCTAGCCCATTTCACCACTAATGAGATCTCATATCATCAACTTGTCTCTTTTATTCTCCCGTATCTTCAGTTTCTTCCATACGCCCAATTACCTACTAGACATACCTACTTAATAGTATGTCTTCTAGCTCTCAAACATAACACATTCAAAGCCAGACTTATATTTCCCCATACTTGCTGTCTCCTTTATTCTAGGTCTCAGTTGTTATGAACAGAGGCACAGCTAATCAGGGACCAGAATCCCTAGGAAAGCAGACAGAAAAAGAACAGGTATTGGGGTCAAAAGCCCTAACAGTGGTGGTAAGGGCAGGGGCCAACACTAGCACTCCAGGATCTCAGTGTAGCAAAGAGGAGAGAAGGGTGGGAGGGAGGGAAATGAGCCTGTGAGGGGAGCTGGATAGAGTGAGGGCGATGGGGCAAAGTGGGGAAGAGGCTGAGTAGGAGATTTGAGAAAGCCAACCCTTTGGCTCGAACAGCACCTGGGAAGGATAAGAAGTATGAGAGCATGGAAGCCTAACCTCTGCTGGCCCCCTGTTTGATGGACTACCTAAATATGTGAGGCATTCACAAGGCAGTTCTCTTCTCCCTCAGGAATCTTTAGGATATAAATCTTTAAGTTGAAGTCTGGAGTCAGAGAAGAAACTGATAATTATTAATGTCTAATTTTCTCTACTTTGGCATGTATTGATCTATATGGATCTCACTTGCCAATGATTCTTTGAAGAAACAGATCTGTTCTAAAGCTAACATTTATAATCTACTGGAACAAAGGAAACTTGGGCAGTGTTGTTCATGAGAAAAAAGAATGAGCCAAAATACTTCAGAAAAGAAACTGAAGAAAATATAAATACTTAAATAAATAAATAATAAACATTTTTGGTGATCTTCCCTTATTTGGAAACAAATGGCAATTGCAAACAGGCAACTTGATGAGTAAAGTCATTTCCTTCTGGAACTCAGTATACAGATTTAAAGTGAATACACTTGCCTACAACCATACAGCTTTTTAATTTATCTCAAACTACCAAAAGTACTGCCTTTCTCATAGAAAACTCACTCTGCAGGGGATACGGCAGGCTGGCCCCAGTTGCCGTTGTAGTAACTATGGACAAGTTCCCTGCAGACCCTTCCGACAATGATGAAGAAATCCAAACCCAGAGAACAGCTAGGGAGTGGGAATCAGGAGGGGGATATTCGGCTATACTTTGGTATATTTTTGCCATTCAGCTATCTAAAATATCTACTGTCACATGACAGCTGCAGTTGCGTATTTTTCTGGATACTGGAGAATGTTCTGGAATATAATAAAAACTAATTATTTGTTAAAACCACCCAGTAGTCTTTCCTTTTTCTGAGTGTGTAGTCTTGTGAAAGAGAAGCAATACTAGAGTTACCATCCCATCTGGAAATGCAATTAACTAATGGCATTTACCAACCACTCACTAAGGCAGTATGACACCACGTCAAGAATAAAACATAGCTCCAGCCTCTGAGAAGATCAGTCTGTTTGGCAAGACTAAACAGCTATGTAAACAATGGAGGACACTATTAGCAAAAGCTTTGATGTATGAAAACCAATGTTAAAATATCTACAATGTGAACTGACATACCAAGGAGATCTTTGGAAACAAATATTTTATCTTCCGGCAAAATGCAAGAATTGAGAATGTCTGATAAAGTGTTAGAGCTTGGGAGTCATGGCTCTCCTTCTGAAAGTTCATGATTATATGCCAGAGCCAACACGATTAGGTAAAAAATTCTTTATCATGTCTGTCCTGGCCCCTTTGTGTGACTTTTCTATTTCAAGTCATCTCTACCTCCTGTTTCCTCTGCCCCGACTGTCACCTTAACGCAAGTTCCTTCCTAAATCTGGGTCTTAGTTTCCTCTCATAGTAACTGATCAATAAACCAAGTACAACCACATAATAATATAGGATTCTTATGAAACCACATTTGAAGGGGAAAAAAGTTCAACTCTACATACAGTGACAGAGAACCTTTACCAAAAATACATTGTTCAGTGCTCTATAAACTGCAAAGAAGTATGCAGTACATTACCTGTTTAAAAAATATACATATATATGTATATGTACACACACACACACACACATACACATATAAATGCCTATCCATGCACAGACCACCTTTAGAGAGGGAAACAAGACCCAGGAAACAGTGCTGCTAATGGAAGGGGAACTTGGTGGCTGGATTGCTGGGGGATGGCACTAGGAAGGTGTAGGGGACTTACTTTCCACTGCATACCCTTATGCCTTTCGAATTTTGTACCATGTGCATATAAAAATATTTACATGATCAATTTTTAAAATAAACTTTCATCAACTGTGCTAAAATCACCAAA